TTTGCCTTGAGCGATTCAAGAGAGGCAAACTGACCACCAGACTTAAGCGATTTAAGAGCTGGCAAGACGAAACTCCTGAGCGATTCAAGAGCCTAGTAGAATCAAGAATAGACAGAAAAATTAAAGCAAAAGCAGTAAAATAATCAACAGATAAGTAAATAGTATTACAGAAAAGTATTGGGGGGAAAACCCCCAGGAATTAAAACCCAAATGGAACGAAACGAGGAATTGGAAATTACTAGTGAGTGAGAGCCCCCAATACTTAATATAAACTAGGTAATAATAACTAAAATTGAAGATTGAGGTATAAAGAACAAGTAACAAGCACAAAGTAAAACACGAAATGATTTCAATTGGACAAGGTAGTATTTTTGTGCATTTGAAATAACGGTAGGATCCGTACGAATATACGTATATAGCAGTTGGAGGACCATCTACCCAAGGTTTGAATGACATGATCCTCAACGCCAGCAGCCGCTGCGGAGGTGGCAGCACCAACCCGGAAAGAATAACCATTAAAAGATTGATGATCCACACCTATACGAGTCAGTGTTTCTTTTAACAAGGAGATAAAAGTATGGCGCATTAAAGGTTTGACGTTAAGGTCAACGTATTGTCTACGAAAAGGGGCGACGAAGGGGTAGCCCCTTGAGTAACACGAGTGGTCAAAAACTTACACATAGTAACCACAGGAGTTAAAACAGTGTTCTCAAATATCTTGATGACAACTCCTTTTCCAAAAGGGTCAGTTTTTGAGGAACGCAAACACAGGTGAAACTGAGACTTGTCCGGGAACACAGATATATCTCCGATGCGAATGAAGCTGTTACAAATTGTAGCAGGATCTGTTCGGATATAAAGAGTAAAACAGTCAGATGACCATCTACCCAAAGTCTGAATAACATGATCCTGGACACCGGCGGCAGCTGCTGAGGTAGCCGCACCAATACGCAAAGGAATGTCCATTAAAGTCATGGCTGTTGATACCTATACGAGTCAGAGTTTCTTTGAGGTACGATATGAAAGTCTGACGCATCAACGGTTTGCAAAAAAACAACAAACAAACATGTTTTCAAT